ATTTGCTTTCATATCAAGCACAGTCAATGCTTGCTATAATTTAACCCTTTCGAGTCAATTCGATTTTTCTAGAAGATAGCTTTAACAGATTCAATTTTATGTGCATTCACCTTTCGATAAATATACCCGTTGATCTTTTCAGTGTGGACAATCATTCGTTTTTCTTGTTCTTATCTGAGCCGTTATACGGACAGTCCTTTTTTCACGTGAGATTGAATAATTACTCACATTTGTTTTTCTTTCTTACATGTATTACGCAGTAAGAACGAGATTTACGAGGAAAATTATGATGGAAGCTATATGACCATGCTACAATTTTATGAAAGTCTTGTACGCTCTTTACTCCTTGGTGCACCATTCGAAATTATTGTCTTCGTTGTTTTGCAACAAGAAACATTATGCTATGCAATAAATAATTCAAACAATAGCGAGACAGAGCAGGTTGATACATTACGTGTAAAGTCCTGCCCGAAAAAAAAGGAAAAGAAAGTGTTTTTCTATTCAGTTTCTTGTTAAAATATGGCGGATCCCACCGGTGAGACCCATCGACTCGAAAAGGTTAAACATTAGAACTAAAGATGAAAAGAATAATTTCTATGTTTGAATAATCAAATCACGAATGTTTTCACAGTTCTTAAGTTTGGAACAGAGATAAAATTATCAATCATATCAATGTATTTAGAACATCACTTAGATTTTTATGTTATTAATCACGTTGTTTTAACTATATTACAATTGAATCATAATGAATACAAAAAATGCATAGACAGTTGATGTTCTAATTATTACTTTTAACAATAAAAAGTTGCTATTTCAATCAATATTTTATAGTTCTTTGCTAACGTATTGCTATTAGCTGTTTTGGATTTTCAATTAGATAAAAACGCAATATTATTCAGCAAATATTAACAACATTTTAAGTACTATTCAGATTTTACCACATAACTCAAATAATTCGCGAGAAAACCAATAGATGGAAGATCAGCCATATTCAAATTTCTGAGAAAGGAAATGTCCAAAATTGCTGACACATCGGTAGAGCATTTCTAGGAAACTTCGCCAATTGCCGAGTCATAGGAAAGTAATTCCTGGAAATTTTGATAATTACTAAAACATGAGAGTCTAATTTCTAGGAAACTTTTGGAATAACCGATTCATACGTAAGGGTAGGTGTGGATCTAGTAAAAGGTAGAACCGACACCCACACACACATCCTTTTTTTATTGTGTTATAAAGACAATAGTCACAGCAACAATTGGGAATTTTCACTTGTAAAAGCAAAAGAAAAGAATTGAATTCTTCAATTATAAAACAATTGTTATGTCATAGTTCTTCATAGAAATAGTCAGATTCATTATGTTATTTTTCTTTAAAAATTGTATCATGGAAATCAAAAGGAAGAAGTAATAGTATTTCAAAAGCTTTTGGTATTCCCTAGTAATTAGACGATGGTGAGACGTTATCTATTTTTTATTATCTCGGCAATTGATTTTCGATTCTTTCTTTCTTTCTTTCGATGTCTACACATCTTTTTCCGGCGAGGTGTCGAAATGTTGACAGTAAAATGTCGACAACGCAAATGTCGACAAGCACAATGTCGACTAGAGGGATGTCGACTTGGCAAAATGTCGAATGCAAAATGTCGAACGCGAAACGTCGATGCAAAGATTGTCGACAAACAAAATGTCGATTTAAAAAAATGTCGAAATTTCTATGATAATGCAGAATAGTGACATAACATGAATAGGATATCCTTACAAAAATGTCCTTAACGAAATGTCCTGAAATTTTTTCGTCTTTTCTCTATATTGTACATACAAGTACATTGTGAAAGGACATTATAGACTGTTACCACATAAGCATACCGTCGTATATACTTTTCTCTTTCTACACTTTCTTTGTACATATCGGTCTGAATGTAGAATTTAATATATCTTATTTCTTTCTTTCTCGACTGATAAAAGTCTCGCCTTTCTCTAATAATCGTCATTTGTGTGCGCATCATCCTACTAGTACAGTCGATATATCATTTTATTTCATCCATCTCGTGGAATTAACGTCTCGTGCTTATATCATGTCAACCGCTCCTGTTCTCACCTTTTCAACCAGCAACAAACGTAAACCGATCTTAATCTGTGATGGATTCATCTATCAATTAAACAGAAGCCGATCAAAAATCAAGTATTGGCGATGTAAGGATCGGTTATGCTCGGCTTACATCCATACTGATCACAACGATCAATATAAGGGGAAGTCGGGCAATCATGACTCTCACCTGCCAACACCTGAAAGTATCGAAGTGAGTCTCTTTAAAGAGAAGGTTAAAGAACAGATCGTAAAAGAAACGACCGCAATTGGAAAAATTTACGATGAAGAATTGGCTTCGGCTGCTCTTAGTGAAGCTGCTCTTGCTCTGATCCCTGTTGCAGGCGAAACAAGTGAATTTTCATATCTTTCTATATTTCCTATGTGTATTCTATTCATACTTTAGAATCATCCCTCAACCGTTTACGACGAGAAACAACACCACCATTACCAAAATCATCTTTTTTTGACGTGCCTGATGCTTATTCAGTTACAATCAATGGCACGCCATTTCTCTTTAGTGATACACTTGTTCGCAAAAAGAGAGTGATTCTGTTCGCCAGTGATGAACAATTACGTATGCTTTTTTCAGCAACACATATTATGATCGACGGAACATTTTCGGCCTGTGTACCTCACTTTGATCAAGTGTTCTCTTTACACTGCATCAAGTATGGATTCAGTAAGTCATCTCTACAGTTTTTTGAAAAATTATTTAATCGCCAATTGCTTTTTACAGATTTTCCGTGTGTCATCGGTTTGTTGCCAGGTCGAAGTGTTCCAGTATACAAGCACGTCTTCAATCTATTGGATGCTGCTGCTCCACGTCTTAATCTCACATTTCAACCAAAACACATAATGTCTGATAATGAAAAAGCACTGATCAAGACAATCGCTTCACAGGTAAATTGTATTTCTCGTAACGATTCGATCTTACTGTATCTCTATTTGTTTTAGTTTCCGGCCACGCAACATCATGGCTGTTATTTTCATTATACTCAATGTCTGTATCGTCATATTCAGACATTGGGATTGAGCACATTATATAGCAATAATAATGAAATACGATCTTTGTGCAGACACTTAATGGCATTACCATTATTACCTGTACAAGACATCGAACGAGCTTATGAAGAACTTAATGAGCAAATACCGATGGAATTGGAACCACTCTTCGAATACTTTGAGGGATGGTGGATGAAACGAGTACCTCTTCACCTTTGGAATGTTTCTGATCTGAAGTCAAGAACGAATAACAATGTTGAATGTATGGTTTATTTGATTTTTCTTGTTTTATAATTTTGTTTGTCTCATTTCAGCTTGGCATTGTCGATTCAACAAGAGAATCGAAAAGAAACATCCAAATATCTGGATGTTCATCAACACAGTGAAGAATGAAGAAGTTCATTTTAAACAACAGCTCATCCATGCTAATTCGGGCAAGTTGAAGAAAAATGCACAGAAAACATGCGTCATGCAAGATAAGCTCGATCAACTGCGAAAGCGTTATGACGAAGGAGAAATTCAACTGTCCGAATATCATTATCAATTGTCATTACTAGTTGGTATGAAATCGAAGTAATTTAATACGTACATGCTGGTACAAAATAGAAATATATGACTTTCGCTACTTTTTTACCCTATTCATGTATGTTCTTCTTTTTACTTGTGTATTAAAATTTAACTTGGTCAGTTATAAATATAATTTGATCACAGTTCAATTTTGTTATTTTTTTGAAATTGTCGACATTCTGCTCTCTCGATATTTTGCCCTGCCGACATTTTGCACTGTCGACATTTTTCTACGTCGACATTTTTTTTTGTCGAAATTCTGTTTTTCGACATTCGTCTGTCGACATTTTTCCGTCGACATTTTGCTACGCTCCCTCTTTTTCCATACAATGAATCAATTAATTCATTAGAACTTTTCGTTGTCAATGTTTAGAATAATTACATATTTTATCAATGTGGTTCTATAGGATCGAATCAAATGATGAATTCTTATGATACATTTATATGTACTTTTCCAATGTTGGTTTTTGTCTGGATTGCTTCTCAACCATATGAAGTTCAAAAATACGTCCATAGATCAGTAGGCCAGATGGTACATATGAAGAGATGACATGATGATAGCGAAATGGTGGCTCATCGTGGTCATTGAGTACCTATTTATAAACGTGAAAACTTGGAGCGGTAGACGAGGAAACTCATAATCCAAAACTTTTTGATTGTATGTGATAAAATATGACATACCATTTATTCTTTTTACTGATTTAAAGCCTGAAGTTTTCACAACATAGACAGTTTTTATGAAGATTCAAGCTTGAAAATATATAATGTCTTTCGTCAAATCTTGTCAATAGTAAAATTAAAGAACTGCAATTATATAGAAGAATATTTCTTCTGAAAATATGATACTTTTATTAAATAGATCGCAATAATATGCATTCTCTTTGTTACCATGATAGTTATCTGAATGATGGATCTATTGAAGTATTAAGTCTGATAATATCATTATCGAATACTGTTGAGAAGTATAGATATCAATAAATGACGCAAATGCTGACCCTCTCCCCCAACCGAATATATTTGACTGCTAGCAAAATCATGAATGTTACCATTCAACTTTAGATTGAATTTCGAAAAATCTTGAAATTAAACTCAATGATTTTCGAAAGATCATTTTCAGACTATTAAACATAGTACCCAATGAGAGAGATTATCTATACATTTGTGACATTCTTTTAGGATTGAATCAAGAGATCGAAATGAACGATCATTTATTTGCTAAACATACTTTACTTTTTGTATCGTTAAGGTTTTATAAATATTTTTAAAAAAATTCATCAAAAAATTCAATCTGTTTAGTTATCGAACATAAATTATGAATAATTATTTAAAACATTTTCTTAATGTTATTTAATTAGCTTGCGATAATATTTTAATACTTTATAAGTAATACGATTTGAATTATGATATGAATTAGCACCGCGATAAGATGTACGAATCAAATAAATAATATGAGGACCACCATCACAATTCCATTCAATACAACTTGCTTTACTATCAAATAATGATGATGATAATTCATCAAATTGCCAATCAACATAATGAAAACCAGTATAACGAAGACTATCATTTACTGTAAAACCAGTATCATCATATAAAAGACGATCAGTAGCAATAGTCCAATTACTTAAATGAATTAAATCTTTTGTATACGACAAACTTAATATATTACGTTGAGTTGGATCAAAATTTTGTGTTACAGGATTTACTAATGAAAAATATGCTTCAGTAACTGGATCATATCGTATTGTGAATTTAGTCATACCACCTGGAAATTTTATAATTGAAACAAATGAAAGTGTATTTGTTGTTTGATTTAATTCTAAGATAATAGCTAAATTCGATAATGGTATCGAATTAAATCGTAACACATTTAATATACGGATTTCTTTTGATGATGGTTTAGGTACTATAACAACATTTCCTTCTAAATATCCAGGTGCATTTAGATTTGGAAATGATTTTGGTATCCATTCCTTATTGAAAATAAGTGGTGGAGTTAATCGCCAATTATTTGGAGACATAATAGGATCATCTTCTGTCGATTTACTCGATATTGATAAATTACAACTGATAATAGCTGCTTGAAAATCTGTGGGCCATCGAGGTGTTGGCCAAGCTTCAATAGCACGATACATAACTTGATTAGCAATAACAATTGGTGTTGGACCTGTTGCAAATGAACCATGAAATAAAACAACACCATCATCACTTCCATTATAATTCCATGATAAACCACTATCACTACTTCGATGAATTATTATATTCGCATTTGAATCACTATCAGTACCTATTGCATAGATTATATCATTGTAAACGGCTAATGTTGTCCAATAACTATGTTTTATATATGATATAAACGACCATGTTTCACCATTATTATCACTGACATAAATTGAAACATTTCTTGGTTGAAATGCATATCCAGGACCAAAGAAATCATGACTAGCAACAAGACGACCTGATGATAAACGAATAATTGATGGTGAACCAAGATAAATCTTCGATGGTTCATCATGATAAGCGACTTCATTTAAATCGAGAATAGAATCTGGTATACGTGTACATTGTATTAAATATGAAAATGACACAAGATGCATCACTAGACATATTAATTGAATATGATACATTGTTTTTATTTCTAAAAAAATTTAGAAGAAATAAAAAGCCAATAACTGGAATATTTTATCTACTAACCTCTACTTTCTTCAATATAAAGTATTTTTGCACACACGTTTACTTCGGCTTTGATAAATTGTTAGATGTTATCATCTGTGTTGACTCTCTTCTTGTTTTATCTCTTTGTTACTTTTCGATTAGCATTTGTATATGTTCTTGCTTTTTCATGTACTATTCAATAGTAGAATAAATAAAAGTTGAATTCAATTATAAAAATTAGCTTTAACGCTTAAAATATAAGGGAGAAGGAAGGGAAGTGCAGGCACCATGCACGAACTTATTCTCCAAGGTGCTGAGATAGGATTGAATTGGTGCTGTGGTGCTCATAGAGTTTTGAGAAATAAAATAGAATTTTAGGTGATAGCTGAGGTGACAGTCGTATTGTTTCAATTCGATTTTCCGGTCAGGAGAAACTCTTTTCATGACCATACATGAATTTCATAAACTTATCTAAATCGCAAAAAATGGGCTAAAAAAAGATTGAACTCGAGGATTTTGGCAAGGCATCTGTAGATTCGGATTCCTCGATCCCGAAAACCTGTAGTCAAATTTTATAAAAAATCATTATTTTCGAAAAATAGCTTTGACTTGATCGAAAAAATCGAATTGGAACAATACGACTATCACCTGCAGTTCTCACCTGAATTTTTATCTTATTTTTCAAAACTGTGTGAGTACCACTATTTAGAGGTATACAGTTCACGCTCATAAGCATGAGCAGTTTTCGCTCATGCTCATGAGTGTGAGCGTTTCTTCTGTGCTTTCAATATACGAGTGACCGATAAGAATCAGTCTGTTTTTACTTGTGTTCTTTTGGGCTGCCCAGCTCAAGCTCAGGAGACCTCATATGAATGTTCATGAGCGTGAGCTATACACCTCTACCACTACTAACTTCCAGTACCAAAATGTGTTGAAATGGTGGTGAGACGGCGCTGAGGATCCAAACCTGCACTTTTTCCCCTTGTTAAAATATCTAAATAACACCACACCTGTTCATCCTGAAGAATTTGATGATAATATGATCTTTTACATGTTTTTATTAGGTGGATTTTTGTATCATGTTTAAATATAAAAAAAAAACAAGCAACATCGTTAAAGTTTTCAAACGTCAGTTAATTCAACAGTACGCATGATTATTTCGAACTCATCGTTTTTCCATTTATCTGTCGAAACAAACCAGATATTCTCAAAAGCTTTGGCAATGGGACCATTTGTACCCATCAATTTCGACGTAAGTACTTTGCGAAAGACGTTTCCAATCTTAGTCACATCATTTCCAAAAGCACCTGTACCTATTGGTCCAAGTAAAAGATAAGTATTTGATCCATCACCTTTTGTATTAGCAACAGCTGCAGCCATGAATGCATTAAATTTAGCCAAA